CACACACACACACACACACACATATATATATATACATCAGTATGTGAAATAAGAGACCAGAGATCCGAGATTTTCTGGCATGTTTTAGAGAAATAATGTAATTTGTCATGAACACAGGCGGCTTCTTAAAGCTGCGTCCGTACGGACACTTTTAGCTCATTTCAGAGTCTTTTTGCAGTGTTGGAATAGGGATTAACTGAGTTAAGTTTTAAAATATGAATGATCATAATCAATGAAGGCCAAAATATAATGCCATAATCCGTCACTGCTAGAATTCTGCGTCACGTCTGAGTACAGGATGAACAGACATTCCATCGCAGTGTTTGAAATCATTCATAAAAATCACTTTGGTGGTATTTGAAGGGTTGTGTATTAAAATCAGATGTTAATGTGTTATGTGGCGTGAACTGTATGTCTGTCTGATTTGCATCGTCTCTCGTGCTTCTCCGTGTCGATTCATCTGGACTCGCTCTCGATGTGCTGGCAGATTGATGTCGATCTTTCTGTGAGTGCATGACATTTGTCTGTGACGCTGAATTATATCGAATGATCTGCTGTTAAATGACAATCCACACAGGAGCAGAGGAGTTAATTCTGTTTAATGGCTTAGCAGCAGCTAATGACATAATCTGTTTTGCAATTTTAGTTAAGTATCTTTTTCGAACAAATTGTCTGTGCTCATCTATACTGGCTTTATTTACAAGGATGTTTTATAAGAAATATCATTTAAGAATAAAAAAATAAACAGTACTGTTAGTATTTTTCACAGTCCATTATGTAGCCATACTCTCCGTGTTTGAAACTTTGTTTCTCTTACAGTAGCTTTCATCAAGTGCGTGTGTTTGTGAGACGCATTGATGCACAGGAACAGAGCTCAACTCCAGCAATATTTATTTCTTTCAGATTCGTTTGCCATACAAGGTGTAACTGCTCTCAAACTCGCAAATCCTACTGTTTTCTTGGTCACCGCAATGAGTTACTAATTGCATTTTAGAAGCTCTTACAGCAACATTAACAATGTGAACAAGTCTTTACATGTAGTTAGAAAAGTAAAGCAAAATAGGTTGAAGTCAAAGGAAAAAAGGTATTGACAGTTCTATAGATAAACCAGCAGTGTTTTATCAGGTGAACATTGTGCTTCTTTAATGATGGGGTGCATTATCTAAATACATACAGACCGTATTATCCATAGTATAAATATATTGAATTTTTTGGATTTGCTATATTAAGAATCTAACAAATATACCCATTTTATTCAAACATTTCTTTTTTGGCAAACCACACGTAAGTGGGCGCAATACCATTACAATTGCATTTAGAAAAGGCAATATGATCATATAAATCGAAAATACTCTTCTATTGTATGCTATCCAAAGATGATCTATTTTGTAAAATATTTATTTTTACAGTAGCAGCAGTGTATTGGCAAACCTTCGTTCAGGAAAGGCTTGCGATTTCTGATTTCTGGCCCACATTTTAAAAATATTGTTCTATATTCACTCAGAATCTCAGCAGCAGGTGGTAGCAACTATATATGTTTCAGAGACATTACCACTATCAGTACTGCAGTGAGTGGCACATACAAAAATCTAAATTTAAAAAGTAATCATTTACTCAATTTATATAGTGTATGTTGGCTAAGAAACATGGTTCCAAGGTTCATAATGACAAAAACGGATTAATACAGCCTCTGTTTACTGCCCGACAAAGAAAGAAAACCAACTTGGAATCTCTCCAAAACTGCAACTCGCATTAAAATAGGGTGAATTTCCATTTAATTCCAAGCTTCTCTTTTAAATGGGTTATTGATCTTATTGTGAGCTATTCATCTATGCATACATTTCATTTTTCAAAATAGTTTT